CGTTCTGTTGCCAGATTGTAGAGTTGTAGTATAAAAGAGAACACGTTATTATGAAAAAGACTGAATTTTCTTTTCTTTTTTCATTTCAAGGCAAATTATACATTTAAATATCATTTCGAATGTGAATAAGAATGATCATCATCCAACTGCTGCAAAGCACTAGGTAAAATTTTGTCTAATTGTCCTTTTCTGTACCCACTGTCAGTTGAATTGAATTTTTTATATTTTGCAAATTCATGGATATTTCTTCCTCGAACGAGAAGCTTTCTTCTCTTAACTTCTGGTCTTGTTTCATAATCTCTATGGAACACTGATTTTTTCTGAATACTGCTTAGTGCTTGTAAACTCTTAGGGGACAATTTTGCCCCTAAAAACTCTGCTTTTGTCTGTGTTGCCTCCTTTATCCCAATATTTGATCGAAGAATAGTTGATGATAGCCGCCCCATAGCATTTCTTCCATAATTGACACTCTTTGGAAGCGAAATGTTTATGGATCGATTTATTGACTCACATTTTTGAGTGTCAGTCTTATAACGGGTTTTGTCAATGGCTTCCTCACTTAATCTTATTTTTAAAAGTTCATTTAACAGAAACTTATCATTGTCATTCATTTCCAGGCTCGTTAAGTTGTTTGAAGCCAGAAACATGGATCGATTCCACCAGTTGTTGCTGTGACCGCCACTACAGACCACAGAGTTGGAACGGCACTTGGAACAGTCTCCATCGTAGCACATAATAGTTGCTTGTAGTATTTTCGGTAGCTGTTTTTTCAGTTTGTCCACATCTCCGCAGTAAGTAGAGTACATCTCTTTGATTACAAGGCTACACCTAGATTTTATGTCCTGGCTCAAAGTTTTCTTTTGATTTGTTTTTTCAACTTTTGTTTTGCCTCTGAACATTCCGTCGCTAAAATTAGCCTTAAAACATTGGCGAAACTGAGATGAACTAAGATGGGCTGGGTCAGCTAGTCTTTCAACTTTCCACATAGGATGTAAAGTTCTCATTGCCTCTTCAATTCCGGTAGCTGACGTTGAATCTCCGTCTGTTGTGGCAAACTTGATGAGCACCCCTTGAATAGATAAATCTTCACCAATTATTCTCCCCATTTCTCTCTCAGATAAAGGTGCATGTCTTGTCAGATTTGCTGTGCATCCCTCGTGTCCTGGACAGTTGACAGTAATGCCTGTGTTTCTTAGCCACGCTCCAGTCCAACAAAGTTTATTTTGCAACACAGCACTTATGATATATTTCTTATCTGTGTTTGTCTCACAAGCAATGCCGATTGATTGGGATGCTCCTTGTCCGGGTTTCTTGCTGTGTCCTATGGTCAGACAATTGTACCGGCCATCCAAAGCCACATTTATCACGTTAGGGTTGGAGGCACCTCTTCGTCTATTGACATTTTTCACCTCTTCCACCTTAGTTCTCATGCTTTCATTGTTCAAGTCAGTTGTCTTTGAACTCACATAACTGGATAACTTGGACATACCACTTTCAGCTGGTGGGGGAATGTCTAAATCTGCCAGTAGAAGCCTAGTCCTTGAATTGCCTAAAGGCATGTCTAGCAATCCAGCTTGTAAGTTGATGTTTACTGCAGCCGCTTTCCTACCTCTTTTGCCAGTCGTGATTTCCTTGTATAATTTTACCACAGGAGAGATGTATCCACAATTGAGGCATTTCAGTGAATATTTCCATCCAATTCCCCATTTTTCTTCTGTGTTGATCTTAAATTGTGGTACTGCACACACCTCGGCCTCTTCGTCTGCATCAGTCTGAATGGCTATGTTCCACATTTCTACCATTTTTTCCACATTGATTATCCTGTTGCCTGAGATTTCATTTTGATCAAAACTGCTTTCTTTTTTTTTCAGGCCTTGGTCGTAAAACCCTGTGACTACCTGGAGAGTCTAGTTCAATATTCACATAGCTCAATTCTTGGTCTTCATATACTGCAGAGGTAGATGGAAGATCATAGTCGCAGTCAGTTTGTGTCACCTCACTAACTTTCTTTACATAACCAGGTAAAAAATGTGAACTTTTTCGTTTTCTGTCGCCTTTCATATTGAGAGTTTTGAATGGAAATGAGTGAATTTCTCATTTTTGCTAAATATATATTATTTTGAGACTTGAGGGAGGTGAAAATATCAGCAGAATGATATATTGAAGACAGAATGAATACACAGAGAAATCATTTATTTCTATTTACTATGTGGACTGATTTTGGTTTCTGGGGTTTAGGGATCATAAACCTTAATGAGTTATGTAATGCTTGTAACTTTAACACACTACCTAATGGATATATGGTCTTTTAAGATTCATTCTTGAAAACATTTGGTTCCATGTTATTTCTATTTCTGCAATTGTCATTAATTTAAGAAGTACTGTGGTTTTTGAAGTAGAAACAGGCTGAATTATGTGCGAAGTAAATGTGACGTAATAAATTTGACCCTTATTCTGTGTAATTTTTGTTTTTCAGGCTTGGTTTTGGTCAACGTTCCTTAATCTTTTTACAGAATTGAATTATCTTCATAAATAAAAAAGTTCTGACCAATTCAGAATTGTACGTATACAAGCTTATACAGTGCATATATAGCTTATTATAGGAAAGAGGGGGCAAAAGTAAAAACACTACCACTGGTTTACTTTTAGGTTTATTTGCATAATTTTGGGTCAGGTTGTTCCACAGATGTTATAGAACAAATTAAAGCAAGAAAAAAAAATTAGCTACATATATAGGACTCACTCCACTAAAACATTTTATGCAAATGATTGTATAGGAATGTAGTCCAGGCTATTTTTAGAAATCTTCTTTCTCTCTCCCTTTTGGGGTTTTTGCCTGCCTATTTTTGGGTAAAATTTGGTCTAGATTTGGAATTTGATGTCTGAAATTGCATTATCTTTCAGATTTGGTGAGATGATGAGAGACTTAAAGGCGGAAGGCTAATTCTAAAAATAGTCGTTTTGTGAAGTGCCAAACTCTAGCGGATGAGTATAACCGGTAGTAGTCTACTTTCAATTTTAGTAGCTCAAAATTTTCATGGTCATCATATAATGAATTTTTTAGGAGACATTGAGAATTGGTCAGGCTTTCATTCGACATATTGGAAAGCTTTCAACGAGATTTCTGGAAAAAGTTATAGAAGGTTGAATTTCGTGTTTTAACATGGGAAGAGATGGCAAATGAATTAGTGGAGTGAGTCCTTATCTGGCCTTTTTACAATAGAAAGAATTTTTTTTTTTTTCTTATTGTTGTTTTTATTATATATCATGTATGGATTTGTGCTTGAACATCATAACATTGTATCTCAAAATAGTCAAAAGTAAAGCATTTTCTCCAAACCCAAAGAGTGTTGTTGTCAATTCATACCAAGATTCATTACTATCAGATAAAATCAGTAGCCACAATTGTGTTTACATGCCAAATTAGACACATTTTACTAAACCATTCATCAAAAATGAGCCAAATTAGACCTTGACAAAGATTTTTTCAATATATACATGCATACCAAATTTCATTAAGATCTGATAAAAACTCTAGCCCCTATCATGTTTACAATAGCTCAAAATAAGTTTATTTAAAAAGAGCCAAATTCGAACTTGATCAAGATCTTATCAATATAAATATAGATACAAAGCTTCATCAAGATTGGATATAAACTGTAGACTCTATCATGTTAACAAGCAAATTTGATGCATTTTTTACTAAGTCAAGGGCAATAACTCAAAAACAGTTTATCGAAAAATCGTCAAATTAGAAGTGAACAGCCATCTTATCAATTCCAATGCTCACACCAAGTTTCAACAAAATCCATTTAAAATTGTAGCTTCTATTGTGCCCACAACAACATTTTGACAGGATATTACTAAGTCAAAAGCAATATCTCAAAAACACTTCATAGAAAAAACGGCAAAATGGTTCTTGACTGCCATCTTATCAATCCCAATGCTCACACTAAGTTTCATCAAAATCCATTGAAAATTGTTGCTTCTTTTGTGTCCACAACAAAATTTTGATGCGATTTTACTATATTCATGTGGGCATATAAAAAATATTTATTGCCATGTTCAATAAGACAAGGCAAATGCCCACTACCAGCTGTCTGAAATGATAACGAAGTCTTTAGTGGCCTAATAATGAATTTTCAAATTTTAATCTTAAAAATATTAATAAGTCAAGGCAAATCTTTAAAAACAATCAATCAAATTTTCATCAAATTCAAACATGAACAAGGTTTTATGGACGTACACACAACAGCAATAACTCCAAAACCGTTTTGTCCGAATATTACCAATTTCGAACTTGACAGAGATCTCAACATGCATACCAAATTTTCGGACATACAAGCCAAATTTGACACATTCTTTTAAGTCAAGGGCAACAAGTCCGAAAGCTATCATCTGATTGTTACCAATTTCGAAAAAGACTTGAGTTTTCATCAATATATAGATGCATACTAAGTTTCATCAAGACATTTTACAATGTTGAAGACAATAACTCTGAATCTAATTACCAAGTTTTATTAAGATCAGTTAAAAACTGTAGCCTCTATAGTGTCTAAAAGGAATGTGGACAGATGGATGGACCGAAGGTCTTATTGACAGGGGCAATATACATTGACATTTACATGTGGGCGTTTAAAAAATGTAATGGAGTACCTTAGAGTGATGATCAGAAATCAAATTCTTCACTCTTCCTTCTGTTTCTGATTTTATTGTACTTAATACTTCACTGAAAAAAACAAATTAATTATGTCCATCTTAAAGGTTTAAATGTTCAGATCCCATGCAACACCAGCTGAATACCCAATACATTCTTTAAAAATACAAATGCACCATTACCCAAAACATATAAAAAAGCAAAGTTTTCAGTAGAATTGTCTTATTCTTGGGACATCTATTACAAAAATCCCAACCTACTACCCCTTAAAATATTTTTATTGCCAGTTATTTATGCCCAGCTTTTTCCACAAAATATTTTTAAACCAATATCATTAACCAAAATACATCTCATGTCTTACATTCTTCAAGATGTTTTATACGTCAAGACAAATTCAAACATGAACAAGGTCTCATCAACATACACATTCTTTTAAATTTCAATATAGTATTGTCAAATTCATATGTCTATCAGTTATGAAATAGCATGTTTCAACTATCTGGATTTTCATTAAACCGCACCATTTTGTCAGGAACAGGAATGTGCGTATAAATGACGCTCCACTGTATTCCTAATGTAACTTGCTAGTTTTTATCGTCACATGGCGACCTCCTTAGCCTAGGAAAAAACATGCTAGGCCATCAAAATTTGCTTTTTTATTACACTTCTTGAAACGTGTTCAATTTTTAGCTCGTGAAAAATCTAGAAGGCAAATATTCAATTACTGAATAATAAAACCAAGTTTTATCGAAATCAGGCAAGAATCATGCCTTTTAGAGTTTAAGAGCTAAAAGTTTTCAAGAACAAGGGCAATAACTCCTATGAAACATTTTTCAATTTTTTCGATTTTCGATAGGGTTCATCCATGGGTGATAATTAACTATATCACCAATTTTCATCAAAATCTGTCAAGAGTTGTGCCTTCTAGAGTGTTTAAGAGATCAAAATTGAACGCTTTCTCAAGAACAAGGGCAATAACTCAAACTAAATATTTTCGATTTTTCAATCCGTAAAGAATTGTACGTTCTAGAATGTTTATGAGCTAAAAATTGAACGCGTTTCCAGAACAAGGGCAATAACTCATATTAAATATTTTTCTGATTTTCAACAGGGTTCATCCATGAGTGATAACAAACACTCACACCAAGTTTTGTCAAAATCCATCAAGAATTGTGCCTTCTAGAGTGTTAACGAGCAATCGCCGACCACCAACCAACCAGACCACCGATGCCAACCAGTCCCCACTCATAAGGAGGAAGAACCCTTTGTAAAGGTGTTCTTCTAAGTTTGCAGTGTCTCCATCATTTGGAGATTTGTTGCATCAGTGAAAATGTGGCCTTTGTAATTTTGACTGTTTGCTCTGGGAAGAATTTGAACAAAAAAAACAATTCTGATATCAATGCAATAAAAATTGTTCTCTCCCATTGTGTCAGTGATATTGACATATAGAAGTTGGTGATGGCTATGTATATGACAACAGTTATATAAATAAAGACAAAATTATATGTACCCTTTCTTCTTTATTTTTCTTTCTAATGTCTTTTCTGTGGAAAGTTTTTCTTTATCGTGAGTTGCTACCATTTTGTCAATAACTGTACATTGTTGTTTCTGTATCCATCCCTTTTCTTTTTGCTGTTTTTTCTTCAATACTTCTATTTCCTTTTGTTGTTTCTTTAATAATTTTAGATACACTTTTTCATCTTTGAGCTTCTCTCTTAAAATTGGTGTAAAATTAAGATCCTCACCTAGAAAACAGTAAATGTCCTTTTACCACTATCAACTGAAGCAGAGCATTTCATGACAATAAAAAAGGTTCATTATGAAGTCTTATGAAACCATATTTGAATTAGTCAACAAAGACTTTCTCTCATCTTTCAATGATACCTATATCCCGCCTTGCTCATCTGCTCATCACCCAGGCTTCATTCTCATCTTTGCCCCTTTCCATCCCTTCTGCTCCTCCACCCCCACCCCCTTTACCCCACTCCTCCCTCATTTAACATATAAATTGTCAGTCTCTTAAACCTTTTCACTCTGTAGATCACTCAAAGTCTTGATTAATTTCTTTAAGTCACTTTTCTGTTCAAATTAAAGGAATAATAAGCTTTGTAAAATTGTGATAAACTTGAAAGCAATAAACATATTGTAAACGTTTTTGTTGTTGTTATTATTTTATTTTGTCTAATATATCAAATTAAAATCAATAAATTCCAATACCTGGGGGGCCGCCATCATTGTCAGGAAAGTCACGTGACATGACGTCACGTCGTAGATAGAATATCAAAATAGCGGAATGTCAAGCTTGGTGATGCCTTAACAATAAGAAAAAAAAAAAAGACGTAAGCTACTTCCGAATACCAGACCCCACTAAGAATCTACAAAAGAGAGCATTGACCGACAGATGGCTCCACAACATCTGTACGAGTTGGACAGTGGATACCTTTCACTTCTCAACAAGTAAAGTCGTGTGTGAAAAACATTTTCTACCGCCAGACTTTGAAGTTAACATGACCGCTTTGTTTCTTAGATATCCACCCAGGTGTAAGCGGCTGAAAGAAACAGCTTCCGACCGTTTTTGTCCATAGGAAACCCCCAAGAGAGAGTGGACGAGCTCTCGGCCTACAAAATCAATTACTGCAAGGTGAGTCAATAGTAATAGACACGATAAGCCTAAGCTAAGCTACCTACTGAAGTAAGGCAGATGACAATGACAGTGCATGGTAGCTTTGATAAATTAAATCCTTAGAGGCATATACTCAGGTAATCTGTTCGGAATTATTCCTGACTACAAACATGTAAAGAAATTGTCGATTTGGACAAGGCCTACTTCGTCTCTTTTGTTTACAAGCTGTACGGTCAGGTCAAGATGCTTTTTACTGTATTTGTATCCGGAATATCCAGTCCCTGTAATGCAGATTGTGGCATGCTATTGTCAGCCTTGATTATCAAGATTGATTTTAATAAGCTCTTTGCCTTTATACACTGGATAACCGAGTCAAAATATCAAAATTGTACAGGGCGGTACAAGTTATTTTGACCCAAATGTGAGTTTTTCTTCGCGTTATGTCAGCCATAATGTTTGTTTACCTTTCTGTCTACGACGTGACGTAATAATCTCGCATATTCACGAACTTATACACCACCAATGGTGGCCTTCATGAAATACCAATTTCAGCCGAAAATCGTGTAATATTTAATTTTGTTGATGAATTTATATCATTTTATTGTTAAGACGTAAATATAATACGTCTTTTTAACGGAATATTGGGTTATTGACGTAAAACTTACTACTCCTTTAAGTATTTCAAAAGTGGTATTTAACCCCGGTCGAAACGCCACTAGATCTCTATTAAATTACAGGAAAATCTATGAGAAAACCATGAAATAGAAAAGATTTATAAGGGAAGTGCTGGTAGTGCAATCTATCAAGGATCAGGAAAAGTGGTACTAGAATGGAAATAGTTGAAAACCCTTGGTCTTGATGATAGAGGCCATTTATATTCTATTTCTTATTTCATAGTGTTTGTATAGGGACATCTGTCATAATAATGCTGACTTTCATTTATATTTCATAGTCAAACATAAATATTTTTGCTCATCGACAAAACATAAACACAACCAGTCCATTAAAACACAGCCTGGTTCATTTCCAGTTCTACCATCAAATATATTTCAGCATCTGGAAAAAAGCCAGTCCTTGCTTCAATTCAATTTCAAGCAATTAACCTGTTTAAAAGGAAATATCAGCTTATATTAGGTAACCACTTACCCTTCTTGTCATCTTTCTTTGGCACATTAGCAGTGTCTGGAAGCACACTTGGAGGTGTAGAATTTGTTGACAGTTGTCCATTTGAAGATTGTGACTGTACTGGTGTTTTGTTGGATTTTGCTACAACTGGTACATCATCTATATCAGTTTCATCAATACCCATATCTCTCATCTGTTTTTCACGTTTTTCAGCCATCGATAAGAATTGTATTGGGGCTGACAATGCATCCACAAAATCTGATAATTAAAGACGGGTTGGAAGACATGAGTAATATACACACATATTCAAGCTTTCTTTAATTAAATATGTTTGCAAACACAACTATATACATATTTTTGATACCAAATGGTACAATAATCTGCTGATCTATCTTTGCTAAGATATACCATAAATTATTGATAGATAAACATACTAAGATCTCATCAATATAAGTGATCACACTTTACTCTCTATATAGCTCGGAATTAAATCTTGACACGTTTTTTCAAAGTGAAGGGTAATATCTCAAAAATCATACTTCGAGAAATTGTAAAATTTGAACTTGATCAATACCTCATCAATATATAAGATAAGATAAAATTGTACATTACTATGTAATAAATACCTAAAGTAGTCTCTTAGATAATAATTAATTCCAAAAGCCAATTTAAGGAAATTTTTCTTACAATAAATAATTCTATTTATAGGTTTTTTTAGCTAAATTTTCTGAGGCCTCATTTTGAATTTTACATAAGTTGGTCAATATGGCGGCTGATCTGTTACTTACAGGTTTGAATTATTTCATTGTTATATCTTTAAATGCACAATTCTAGCTAATTGCAAAAATAATTTTTAAATTATCTTCAAAATTCCAAAAGTGAAAATTTCAAGTTTACAGCCGAATAAAAAAAACAGGAATTGATATAAAAATTTTACTTGGTCAAAATTATTTTTAATTTCAATTTTCAGGTTGTTCAAAATAAAATAGAAGTTAGAAAAAGCTCAAAATTAAACATTCAGAGACAAAAGTCAAAATTTTTAGATTCTTAAATTGCTATCTCATAGAACTAAGTTCAAAGAAATAAACAAACAAAGTCAAATCAAGATCGGATCAAAAATGAGCTATAAGTTGAAAACCAAAATGTTGGGCCTCCTATGTCATTTTCATTTGGCAAAAATTGTGTTAAAGTACAAAGACCTAATTTAGTTTAGGATAGCTTACCAGACAAGGTAATTGACGCCCACTAGTAGCTTTGATTTTAATTAAAGGATTTTGGCAGTACAGTAATAAAAGAAGTAATATACACTTCTTTAGAATTTTTAGGGATAATACTGAATATCATCAAGTTTTGTCAAAATCCGGCAAGATTCGCACCTTCAAGCAAAAAATTGAACGTGTGAACAAGAGACATCCAATAGTGTTCATCCTTGACTAATTACAAACACTCACACCAAGTTTTGTCAAGAAATTGTGCCTTTAAGAGTGTTTACAAGCAATTGTGGACTGTGGGACAGACCAGACATACATTAGTGACACCAGTATATGCTCCAATTTCATGTGGGCCTATGTAAGGTAAATATGTTGCATGTGTAGTTTAGACTGGGCAGAATTTAAAAACAAACACTCAGAATCAAAGGAATCATCATAGCTAAAAAAGAAATGGAACGACTAGCTACATCCTTTAGATGAACAATACCAGGGGATGTAGACCAGAAAAAAAACACATCTTGCCACCCATGTGAAACCATAGAAACAACAAATTTCATCAAAAACAAAAATTCTAAAACCTTTCCAATTCAAGACACTGTTATATGTCATACGAATCTAATGTTTGACATGTTCATGCAGTGGAATTTAGACTAACTACCAACCCTTTATATGAGGTCAAACATTAAAACTTAAAAAAGCAGGTAGAGCATCCGATTTTTAAATGCTAACATTGTACTTTAAAAGTTACAAATCAAAATGAAAAATTAAGAACTTTTCAAAGAACAAGGGCAATGATTCATATTGAATTTTATTTTACCACTGGTGATATTCAACTATTTTTCTCATGCACCTACACAGCTTATGTGTTAAATTTTTTGATACAATAAAAACACTTGGCACAGAGTGGGACTTTGCTAATGTGCCAAATTGCAAGAGACTCTGAAAAATCAACCTTTCAGGTTAATTAGGTCACTTGCCAGAAATGTCATTTTCTGTCTTTGGATGGTTCTTAAACCGGAAGTAGACGTCAGACATCAAAAATGAAAGTATCATCGAATAGCCCAAGTCATTGCATTGACCTTTGACCTTATTCAAGGTCAACAAGGGTCAAGCTCATGAGATATATGTGTCATTAGATTTTCAACATGCATACTGCTATTAAATCGGAAGCTGTCGTTGGACATCAAATATGAAAGTATAGATAGATAACCAAGGTCAACGACCTTTGATCCTACAAAAGTTAAGGTCGACAAAGGTCAATGTCAAAAATTGAAAAGTTTCTTTTTTTCGAACTATAAAGCAGAAACAACTGAGCTTTTAACACGAACTGGCCAAATGGATGAGATCATTGTGTGCAAGTGCCACGCCCACCTCAAATTTTTGTCATAGCTTAATTCATATTTAAAATGTCTTATATTTCAAATTTCAAGCTTCTACACCAAATAGGTCATAATATATATCTACACTAAGCTCAAAGAGGCAAAAATATTGTTAAAAAACACTCAATTTTCAAAAAAGTCTCAAATTTCAATTTTGCTTTTAAAAACTTTTGTTATATATCATTAGAAAGAGCAAGAAGAGCACATTAAGAATCCGAACAAATAAACCCACTAGGTTAATTATGTCACAGGCTAGAGCAGTCCAATGTTACAAATTTTGCTGTCTCGGACAGCTATCAAACCAGAAGTGGGTGTCAGACTTCAAATATTAAAGTATCAACTGATAGCCAGAAACAATGACCTTTGACCTTATTAAGGCCTAGGTCAGCAAAGGTCGAGGTCAAAAATTGAAGCTATTGACTTGTTCCTTTTTTTGAACTATGAAGCTGAAACAACCAAACTTCTAAGACAAAGTAGTTCTAAAGATGAGGTAAGTTCCAAAAATGTCAATAATGAGTAATTTAACACGGATGTGCCACTCCCACTTCAACTTTTTGGCATAGGTTAATTGATATTCTAAATGTTATGATGTGTTCCGAATTTCAAGTTTCTACATCATACAGGTCAAAAGATATAGGCCAACAAAGGTCAAAATCAAAAAATGAAAATGTCCAAATGTTAAAACCTGTTCCTTTTTGGAACTGTAAAACTGAAACAACTGAGCTGTTAACACAAACTGGCCAAAAGGATGAGGTAATTGTGTGCAAAGTCCTTTTTTGAACAAACGTATCCTACCCAGCAAACATAGCAACATCGGACCGACAACAGCTCAATCTCGTCACGTCGCCTCTGTTAAATGACCTCGACCTGATGTTGGCCCGATGTCAGCTTTATATAGACCAATCGATTCAGACTCTGTCGGCCCCACGTCGGGTCTATTTCATATATCGACGATCTATCTAACGATGTCAAGCCGGCGTCTCGCAGACATCAGGTCGTTTAATGTTCAAGATGGACATCCAATGTGCGCACGTCTATGATAACTGACTTGAAACTGACGTCGGGAAGATATCGGCATGTGATTGTGGATAGATGATCGATTTGGAGATATAGGGCCTATGTCAGACCTATTTTATAAATCGACGATCAATCTATCGATATCAAGTCGTAATCTTGCCGACATCGGGTCGTTGGCGGTTCACGATGGACATCCGATATGCACACTTCTATAATATCTGACGTGAAACTGGCGTCGGGAAGATATCGGCATGTGATAGTGGATAGATAATCGATTCCCCCCCTCCAGGGACAAAAAATTTAATCTTAATAGGCCTGAATCATAGACTCCTTTGATAGTCCCAACATCTATGCCTATTATGCCAGTTTCCAAAAAAAAAAGAAAAGAAAGGATAATGACATTAAATAAGATCCCAGGGAAAATCCGTTCGTAGCCTAACATAATTAAGTGCAACAGTAATGCACCGTGTTGCACTTTAGATGTCGGCCCGATATGATAGTTGATATCGGATAGATCTCGAAGATAGATTAAAAAGCCGATGTCGGTGAGCTGTCGGTAAAACATCGGCATCATGTCAGTAGCCGACGTAAGTTAGACGTCGTTTTATGTTGCACTTTAGATGTCAGCCCGACCTAGTACATTGACATCGGTCAGATTTAGACGTCTTTGTCGGTCCTATGCGAGTTATGCCCCTGCCCCAAAATGTAACAATAAGTAATTCTACCCGGATGTGCCATGCCTACTTCAACTTTTTTTGTCATAGGTGCATTCATATTCATCATCATCAAATCTACATCAAATAGGTATTGTAAAAAGAACTCTTAAATTTGAAAAAATCAAGAATTTTAATTTTGCTTTAACAAAAAAAAACAATTGTTATATATCAATGTAAAGTGCATGAGAAGCACATTAGGAAACCGAAAAATTTAACCCTCTGGGTTAATTAGATCATGTGCTAGAGCAGTCCAAAGTTGCGAATTTGGCTTTTTTCAGACAGCTATACAACTGGAAGTACATGTAGGAGGTCAAATGTCAAAGTATCAACTGTCAAAGACCTTTGACTCTATAAAGGTCAGTCATCAAAGGTCAAGGTCACGTTGTGTGAGCGTTTAAAGTTTGCAAAAAAGCAAAAATTGAACCTTCATCCTTTGGTGATAATGATCAATTTCAAAGTCTTGTCAAAATCCAACACAAATTATGCTGCACAGAGTGTTTACAAGCTAAAAATTTAGCAACAACTCATGTACATTAGTGTTCGCTAATTCTAATTTTCAATATGGTTCATCCTTGGGTAATAATAAATACTTACATCAGATTTTGTCAAAATCTGTTTTAGGGACTTTCCGCTTTTTTCGTAGATAAAAAATAATCTAGAGAAATGTGTCCTTAACATGTCTGAAAATTTTGACTAAAAAGATCCAGCAGTTAATTTTTTAATGCCAAAACTATATAAAAAACATTACGTAAGTTTTTTTTAGCTTCTTATGCTAGGTGTAAGAAAATTTCTGTATGGATTTAAGAAAAATAAATGCCTATTTGTAAAGAAATATGTCTCCTACTTATTCTGAAGGTTTCAAATATAAGTATCAATTTATTATTTAATTATAAAGGCCAAAACCAACACTTAGGTCAAACTGCTTGATTAACAATTAGTACATTTTTAATTAACCCTTTTAAAACAAATTCAGTTTGATCAAGAAGATACATAGATATAAATAACTTACTTTAGAAATATTTTCAGGTTCACCCAATGAAGTATAAAAGTGTGTAAAAATTAGTCTTAGACCATTGGAAATATCATGCCTGTCTGTAGTATAACTTACCCGGATGTGCCATGCCTACTTCAACTTTTTTTGTCATAAGTGCATTCATATTCATCATCATCAAATCTACATCAAATAGGTATTGTAAAAAGAACTCTTAAATTTTAAAAAATCAAGAATTTTAATTTTGCTTTAACAAAAAAAAACAATTGTTATATATCAATGTAAAGAGCATGAGAAGCACATTAGGAAACCGAAAAATTTAACCCTCTGGGTTAATTAGATCATGTGCTAGAGCAGTCCAAAGTTGCGAATTTGGCTTTTTTACAAATGGAAGTACATGTCGGAGGTCAAATGTCAAAGTATCAACTGTCAAAGACCTTTGACTCTATAAAGGTCAGTCATCAAAGGTCAAGGTCACGTTGTGTGAGCGTTTAAAGTTTGCAAAAAAGCAAAAATTGAAATTCCAAATTAAGCTCACAATGTTTTTTGTGCAATCCATTGCAGAATACATACACATCAAATTTGAGCATATCAACATTTACCCTGAGGTCCCATTTTGAGATTTAAGAAAGTGAGTTTTTTCAATATGGCGGCTGTAGTATCACTTCCGGTCTGGATATTTTTTTCTTCGTTTTTTGTAATAGCATTTACTTACGATCAGCATAAATTTCGTTTACCTGTTTCAATTACAACGGAAGTTATTCGAAAATTCGATCGAAAAAAGTGAGAGGCAAATTTTCGAAATTCATAATTCTGCAAATGCTTTCAGATCAGAAATTACAGACACATTCTATAAATGAAAGTCTGCAGAAAATCGATGCAAAAATTTTCGATTTTCGACTATTTGCACATGTTGAACTTCCGGTTTTACAAATATGTTCCAAAATATATTTATCCAACACGTCCCCACTACAGAAGGTATAGGAAATTTCAATGGCTGCTGCAGCTACTGCAGTCTAGGCTCAGGAAGGTGTGTAAATCTCGAAAAGAAAAAAAAAAAAGGAATTGACATTTCGATAACAAACTGGGACTTTGCAACAAGCAAAGTCCCACATGAAGCACAAGTCAAAATGGCTTGAACACTGAACATGATTCTATTGTTTTCATGAAAAGAATTTGACACAAATTTAACTAAGGCAGTAACAAAACCATTTAACAAAATATGACAACATGTCTGAGACTATCTAGCTTCTTTGACAGATTTTAACGCTTTTTAGTCAACCTTCATCCTTTGGTGATAATGATCAATTTCAAAGTCTTGTCAAAATCCAACACAAATTATGCTGCACAGAGTGTTTACAAGCTAAAAATTTAGCAACAACTCATGTACATTAGTGTTCGCTAATTCTAATTTTCAATATGGTTCATCCTTGGGTAATAATAAATACTTACATCAGATTTTGTCAAAATCTGTTTTAGGGACTTTCCGCTTTTTTCGTAGATAAAAAATAATCTAGAGAAATGTGTCCTTAACATGTCTGAAAATTTTGACTAAAAAGATCCAGCAGTTAATTTTTTAATGCCAAAACTATATAAAAAACATTACGTAAGTTTTTTTTAGCTTCTTATGCTAGGTGTAAGAAAATTTCTGTATGGATTTAAGAAAAATAAATGCCTATTTGTAAAGAAATATGTCTCCTACTTATTCTGAAGGTTTCAAATATAAGTATCAATTTATTATTTAATTATAAAGGCCAAAACCAACACTTAGGTCAAACTGCTTGATTAACAATTAGTACATTTTTAATTAACCCTTTTAAAACAAATTCAGTTTGATCAAGAAGATACATAGATATAAATAACTTACTTTAGAAATATTTCCAGGTATAAAGTACAACGCTTTTGATAATAAAAATGATTTTCAAGATGTTCACCCAATGACGTATAAAAGTGTGTAAAAATTAGTCTTAGACCATTGGAAATATCATGCCTGTCTGTAGTATAACTTACCACCAAAGCCTTCAGGTACATAGGTTTTCAATATTATTCTGCAAAAAACTGTTGGTAATGATAATGGGAAATTGCCTTCTGTTCGAAGTGAGATGTGACGATAACCTGCAAAGAATAAACTAGTGTTAAATCATGTGCAAACTGTAGCTGTATAGCAGATGATTCTCGCTGCAGCCGAACAAAGTATGTCAGCTTAATACACATATACGTTTCATGGCAGAATTGTAACTTCTGGAATGAGGGCAATAACATCAATCATTATTCCGATTTTCAATAAAATTCATTCTTGAGTGATACTAAACAATATTACACCCAAGGTATGTCAATATCTGTCAATATTTGTGACTTCAAGAGTTTTATAAGCAGACAAACAGACAGATGTACATGCATGACACCATTATAATTTTTACATTACATTTGGATATTGAGTCACAATGATTTTATAATTATTATGAGACAAAAAACTATTGGGTCACAGTGGGTTTTTTAAAAAAAAAAAAGCGATGCCATCGTAATACGCCCACATTTGTAATGGCAGCTAATTTGTTCGGGAGGTTGGCAAGAGTTATCAGTAAATGAATGTTTCTGAGAGTGAAATTTCATATTTCATGGGTTTTGTTTACAGCTTACAATTCAAGAACAAGGGCAATAACTCATAGTAAATATTTTTCGATTAGTCTGATTTTCAATAGGGTCAATCCTTGGGTGATAACAAACACTCACACCAAGTTTCGTCAAAATCCATTAAGAAAGCAGCTCTCAAGTTCCTGTTCTTTGAAAACATACATTTGGACACTTCATTTGAAATTGTATCACATGTATTAGCAAAAAAAACACATGCATTAGCAGAAATATCTCATGAATTAGCAAAATTATCACATATCACATGTATTAGCGAAAATATCACATAATTAGTCTTTGGAAGCCATTTGGGATGCATCTTTAATTTCATACTCTTAAATTGTCAAGAACAAATGCCACCCTACTTTTTTTAAAAGCTTATGATATCTTCTTTTAAAATCAAGAGAGGTTACATAGATCTTTATTTCATGATAAATATACCTATTCTTTATCCTGTTGTGTAGTGTTTTGCAATCCTGGGCAGCTAATTTGTCCGGGAGGTTGACATGAGTTATCAGTAAATGAATGTTTCTGAGAGTGAAATTTCCTATTTTGTTTACAGCTTTTTTATTCAAGTGGGATTAATTCAACATGTCAAGTTTCATTTAATCCATATAGAATTGAATCTTTTGAGTGACAGCAAGTGGCAAATCTTTGTGTTAAGACAGTTATATATTGACAGACAGACAGACGAACAGACAGACAAGGCGACGGCTATATAGGGTTTATATTGCAAACACTCACACCAAGTTTCGTCAAAATCCAACGAGAAATCAGCTCTCTATCGTGTCCACACTCTATCATTTCCACAAACAATTCAAGAACACAGGCAATAACTCATAGTAAATATTTTTCGATTTGTCTGATTTTCAATAGGGTTCATCCTTGGGTGATTACAAACACTCACACCAAGTTTCGTCAAAATTCCATCAAGAAACCAGCTCTCTATCGTGTCCACACACTATCGTTTCCACAAACAATTCAAGAACAATTCAAGAACAAGGGCAATAACTCATAATAAATATTTTTCGATTCGTCTGTTTTTCAATTGGGTTCATCCTTGGGTGATTACGAACACTCATACCAAGTTTCGTCAAAATCCATCAAGAGACCAGCTCCAATTGTGGACAGACAGACAGGGGCGACGACTATATATGCCCTGCACCCTGTATCATGACTACAAGCCAAATTTGAAGCGTTTTCACTAAGTCAAGGGCAATAACTCCAAAACCATTCAACAGATTATGACCAAATTCAAACTTGACCAAGATCTCATCAATATATACATGCATACCAAGTTTAAACAAAATCGGATAAAAACTGTAGTTTATATTGTGCCTACAAGCCAAATTGGACGTTTTTACTAAATCATGGACAATAACCCTGAAATCATTCATCAGATTATTACCAATTTCGAACTTGACTGAGGTCTTTTCAATGTCTGCGAGCATATTATCCATATGTACATGCATACTAAGTTTCATCAAGATTGGATAAAAATTGCAGCCGTCATCGTGCATACAAGCAAAATTTAACGCGTTTTTACTAAGTCAAGGGCAATAACTCATCGTTAATATAACCGTTCATCAGAATATTACCAATTTCGATCTTGACCAAGATCTCATCAATATACAATCAAGGCAGTATTGCGGCCACAGGAATTGAGGTGTGGAACCAATACATGGGGTAGAAGTTACTGTTCATGAAGGGGTGTTCCAGATCACCAGTGTCCAGGATAAGCAGCATATTCCTGAGAGAGCAACCCATTTGAAGAACCACTACAAGAAGGTCAGTTCACGCTGTGGTCTTTAACAGAAGCCAACCAGATTGGATAAAAATTGCAGCCGTCATCGTACATACAAGCAAAATTTAACGCGTTTTTACTAAGTCAAGGGCAATAACTCATCGTTAATATAACCGTTCATCAGAATATTACCAATTTCGATCTTGACCAAGATCTCATCAATATACAATCAAGGCAGTATTGCAGCCACAGGAATTGAGGTGTGGAACCAATACATGGTGTAGAAGTTACTGTTCATGAAGGGGTGTTCCAGATCACCAGTGTCCATGATAAGCAGCATATTCCTGAGAGAGCAACCCATTTGAAGAACCACTACAAGAAGGTCAGTTCACGCTGTGGTCTTTAACAGAAGCCAACCTCACCTCACACCCTAGTACAAACTCCAATGTGAGTTAACACTGCAATTCAATTGGAGTGCACACTAGGACAAAGTCTAATTTAAAATTGTCCTAGTACAGGCTCCAATTACAATTTGAGTTCACCCCAGGACAAAGTTCAAGTTTAGTTAGGAGAAACTATAATTGGAGTTTGTACTAGGACAAAGTAAAATTGGACTTTGTCCTAGGGGGATTTTAAATTCTCCTGGATTTCAGTTTCTACTGTGACCTATACATGCATACCAAGTTCCATCAAAATGAGATTAAAGCTGTAGTCTCTCTCGTGCCTACAAGAAATGTGGATGAACCGATGGACGGACGGACAGGGGCGACGGCATGTGGAAAAAAAATAAAAATTAGTTGAAAACTGTAGTATCTATTGTTTACAAACAAATTTTGACGTGTGTTTCCTAAGTCAAGGGCAATAGCTCAAAAACCGTTCATCAAAAAATCATCAAGTTTGAACTTGACCAAGATCTCATCAATATAAATGATCACACCAAATTTCATTAAAATCAGTTGAAAACTGTAGTCTCTATTGTGTTCACAAACAAATTTTGTCAAGGGCAATAACTGCAAAAATGTTCATCGACAGATCGTCAAATTCGACCTTGACTATGATCTCATCATGATAAATGATCACACCAAATTTCATTTAAATTGGATGAAAACTGTAGTCTCTTTTAAACAAATTTTGATGCGTTTTTCTTAAGTCAAGGGCAACATTTAGAGCCCATATAACAGAGAACACAATGAATATATTATGGTATAACACACTTCTTTAATAACACCAGCTTCAAGCATCAAGTAAGTCTTTAAACTAATTACTGGGGATAAAAATACTGAGAGGCCACCGCTAGGCCAAACTGTAGTTAACTTGAGCCGCAAAATTCTCACACCCCTTCAGCATTCAATCTTAGACCGTGGACTTAAATTTATTCCCACACCAAAGATAGCTAACTTGAATTATCTCCGACCATCCATTGAACGATTTCAACGAAATCTTAGCTGCACATATTTTTTTCGAAACCACCCCCCACGTGGTGCTAGAACAATGTTTATTCCTAAATCCACGTGGACACCCCCTCAGGCCGCCATCCATCCTGAAATATTGAAATCATTTGCGAGTATGAATAGCCAAACAGTGAACCTTTCCATAACACACGAAAAGCCTAATCTCACACGAGTGGAACGTGAAGC